ATGTTTTTGTTACATGGATATCTTTTTTTTTTTTTTGAGACAGAGTCTTACTATATTGCCCTTGGTAGAGTGCTGTGCTGTCACAGCTCACAGCAACCTAAACTCTTGGGCTTAAGCGATTCTCTTGACTCAGCCTCCCAAGTACCTGGAACTATAGGCACCTGCCACAATGCCTGGCTATGTTTTGGTTGTAGTTGGCCCAAGCTGGATTCGAACCTGCCAGCTCCAGTGTATGTGGCAGGCGCCCTAGCCGCTGAGCTACAGGCGCTGAGCCACATGGATATCTTTTGTAATGCTTAAGTTGGGCTTTTCATGCACACATCTCTGGAATAGTGTTTATTGTACTGGATGGGTAAGTTTTTACCCAGCCCCTTCTTGTGTTTCCAATCCCGTTTACATCTCTTTATGCCCTCTGCCCATTGTGCCCATCAGTTAGCTCCCAATTATTACAGAGTACAGTGGTGCTTGTTTTTCCATTCCTGAGATAAATAGTAGCAACTTTAAAAGGGGGGGGGGAGGGAATAAATCAACTATAAAACAATGAAAAAATTCTGTATAAGAAAAAGTCTTTGGAATTTATGGTAGGCAAATGACTAAAATGAGGTTACAGAAATGAAAAAGATTTGACTGGCTCGGCGCCTGTGGCTCAAGCGGCTAAGGCGCCAGCCACATACACCTAAGGTGGAGGGTTTGAATCCAGCCCGGGCTGCCAAACAACAATGATGGCTGCAACCAAAAAATGGCTGGGCGTTGTGGCAGGCGCCTGTAGTCCTAGCTACTTGGGAGGCTGAGGCAGGAGACTCGCTTGAGCCCAGGAGTTGGAGGTTGCTGTGAGCTGTGATGCCATGGAACTCTACCCAGGGTGACAGCTTGAGGCTCTGTCTCAAAAAAAAAAAGAAAAAAAGAAAAAGATTTGACTGACAATTTTAAAAAGACCCCCCCAAAATAGGCAAAATATATAGCCAACAAGCATTTGGAAAAATGTTAGACACCAAAAGTTATTTTTATATATATATGTATTTATTATTTTTTATTTTTACATATACAAGTTATTATTAGGTTTCCACTTTTTGCCTTCAAAGAATTAAAAAGCTTAAAATTTATCAACAATAACAATGTTTAAGACAAGGACTAGAAACAAAAACCTCATAAAGAATGAATGAAGATAAATACATTCAGAAAAGAAATCAGACGATTGCTGCAACGAAGTATTGAGCAATAATAATAATAGTAATGCAAAGAAAGTAACATTCACCTTGTCAAATAAGAATATGACTATTATAGAATGCTTTGACTCTGAGGTTCAGTATAGAGTCATCAATTAACTTATTCTTATTTTTTTCCAAAGTCTCAAAAAATAGACAACTAATATTTATAAATAAAAATAAAAGACAATTTCAAAAAACTTATTACTGAAGGAACAAAAATAAACGTGGTATATTATTTTTCAGTTATTAGCCCACCAAAGATAATTAATTCCTGGTAGGAACTGGCTTATGCCTGTAATCCCAACACCATGGGAGGCCAAGGCCTGAAGGTTGCTTGCAGCCAGGAATTTGAGGCCAGCCTGAGCAAGAGCGACACTCTGTCACTACAAAAAATAGAAAAATTCCCCAGGTGTGGTGGCATGTTGCAGGCTGAAGCAGGAGGATCACTTGAGCCCAGGAGTTTGAGGTTGCAGTGAGCTATGGTGACACTACTGCACTCTAGCCTGGGCATCAGAGAAAAACTACTGTGTCCAAAGGGTTTCTGACAATATGTGGTAAGAATATAAACTGCTATATTTCTGAAGTCAGTTTGGAAATTAAAAATGTGTATACTTGAGGCCGAGGCGGGCCTCAAGGGGGCCTCAAGCAAGGATTGCATGAGCTCATGAATTTGAGACCAGCCTGAGCAAAAGCGAGACCCCATCTCTACTAAAAACGATAAAACTGGGCGCCAGCCCCATATGCTAGACGTGGCAGGTTCAAACCTAGCCCCGGGCAAAAACTGCAAATAAATAAATAAATAAATAAAAACAGCAAAACTGAGGCCAGAGGATTGCTTGAACCCGAGTTGGAGGTTGCTGTGAGCTATGATGCCACAGCAGTCTACAAAGAGACAGCTGGAGACTCTGTTAAAAAAAAAAAAAGTGCATACTTTTTTATCCAGCAGTTCTATTTTTGGGAATTTATTTTAAGGGGATTGTCAGGTGCCAACTGATGCTTACTCTAGCATTGTTTATTTGTTAATTTTTTGAGACAGAGTCTCACTCTGTTGCCCTGAGTAGAATGCTATGGTGTCACAGCTCAGAACAACCTCAAACTCCTGGGTCTGAGCCTCAGAGTAGCTGGGACTCCAGTGCCTGCCACAATGCCTGGCTAGTTTTTCTATTTTTAGCAGAGATAGGGTGTGACTCTTGTTCAGGCTGGTCTCAAACTTCTGAGGTTGAGCAATCCACCTGCCTCGGCCTCCCGGAGGACTAGGATTACAGGCATCTAGCATTGTTTATTGATTGAAAAATTGAGAGCAACTTAAATGAGGATTTGTTTTAATTGTGGTATAGCCATTCATTGGAATACTGTATGTCGAAGATGATTATGTAGATTTGAACTTACCAACATAGATGAATACCCAAGATAAATAAGAGATAAATGAGCGAATGGATGAATATACGTAGAAAAAATATGGAAGGATATAAACCATAACGTTAACTGTGTTTTTCTCTATTTAGAGGAATTGTGGCTGATCCTTTTTTATTTATTTTTCCTGAAGTTTTAAAATAAATGTATATAATAGGAGAATAAATAGGAGAAAAAAAAGGCCTATTCTCCCAAAGTGAAACTGGTTGAGGCAAAACTCGTGTTTCATCATGCTACTTTTTGTAGTTACCAAAATTTGCTTTTGAGAGTAGAGATGTTACGTACATGATAATTTATGGAATGGATTTGAAAAACAAAGACGTTATCAGCTGATGCTCATATAACATCTAAGAAGGCAAAAAGTAGAGTTCCCCTGTATTCCGTGTAATGAAAATGAGTTGCTTTCATTTGGCACCTTTCAGAATACACCTCTGGTGGGTTCATCATCTTCTGCAAGTCCTCTGATGGAGCTTGTTGTGGGGGACGTGGGGGTCTTGAAAAGCTTCAGTTCCACTGGGGAAACACAGCTCAGGGGGCTTACTGGCATCTCAGAGCTCTGGGTTGGGACGGGTGTGTGTGTGTGTGTGTGTGTGTGTGCAAGAACTGTATAGGTACAGAGTTCTTCCCACCCTGCCTAGGGGGTGTGTCGGCTCCCTGCTATGCCTGAAAATTAGTCTGTGACTTAATCTTTGAATTTGAGCATTATCTTTTTTCCTCTCTCCAATGGCACAATGCTAATTTTTGGGGGGGGTCTTCTAATAAGTCACAAAGAGATACTTGAATTAATTTACACCCGCCCCCCGAAAAAAACATAAGGGGAAAGGTTTTGTTTGTTTGTTTTTGTTTTAGAGATAGAGTCTCCTCCGTTGTCTAGGCTGGAGTGTTCAGACAAGTCGCTCTCCCTCAGCCTCCTGAGTAGCTGGGAGGTACTTGCAGGCACACCACCATGCCTGGCTAATTTTTCTGTTTTTAGTAGAGACAGGGTTGTGCTCTTGCTCAAGCTGGTCTCGAACTCCTGGCCTCAGGTGATCCTCCTGCCTGTGCCTCTCCAAGTGCTGGGATTATGAGTGTGACCCCCTGTACTCCACCAAGGTTGTGTTTTAGGGGTGTATCCCGGTGCATGGGACTTGAAAAGGGGAAGGGATACAGAGTGAGTTGGGGGACCGTCCAGGATTGAATCCTCTGACTTCACAGTTTTGCTCAGACTGTGAGCACAGGTTTTGAGGAAGATGAAATCGTCATTTTCAGTGCCAGAGCTGTTCACAGCTTTTTCTCTGGATGACTCTTGTTCATGCGTTTTTAAGGTTTTCTTGGTATTGTAAATTATTAATAAAACAGACTTGGCTTGAAAGAATAAAATTATAAAATGTAGCTTGACCCATTTTTATCCCATATGTGAATTTCTGAGAACAATGACTATGCTATAGTTTCTCACCATCATAGGGAAAAATGGCTTCTTGGAGATAATTTTAGTTTGAGCAAATTGTTGAATAAAAATCTTATTTTGGTGTAAGTCAACTTAATTTTTTTGGCCATTGTTTTTCATTATTAAAGTACTGCAGTCAAATCTGAGAAAACTTTGACAATTAAGGAAAGGGGATAAATTAATTTTTTAAATTTATTTTTTAATTAATTAATACTTAATTAATTATTATTTTTTTTTTTTTGCAGTTTTTGGCCGGGGCTGGGTTTGAACCCCCACCTCCGGCATATGGGGCTGGTGCCCTACCCCTTTGAGCCACAGGCTCTGCCCAGGGATAAATTTATTAAAAATTTTTTTTTGCAATAAAATGGCATTTTGGTATTTTTCCTTCTAAATTTTTTCTTCTGCATCTAGAATACAACATATTTCCAAGGTTATGGTCCTGGCAGAATATAGAAGATTAAGCAATCTTTCTATTTCATCAACTCTGCCTCGTAAATGAGCAACGATCAGTTGTCTTTACTTTTTCTTTATTTCCCCTTTGGCAAAATTTGTCAGCATATTTAGCAGAAGGTGGAGACTTAATTTCTTTTCACAAATTTGGATTCAGTAGCAATATCCTAATAGAATTATTCTGCTTAAAGAAATGCTCAGAGTGACACTTGGAGGAAATGAATCCAGTGTTTCTAAACCATTCTGAGGGCTAGTTAAATTCCATTTCCTGAGGACAGAGAGGAAAAAAATACCCTGACATTTTTGTTGTAGCTCCTGGGCTGGGCGGCCCAGGCTCGTTGGTCTGTGTTGGTAAACTCTGCCGTTTGGCTGGTGCATTCGGTGGAAGGAAAGTGTGATCTTGCCTAGTTTAGTTATTCGCAAGAGCGTTTTTCCTTCCTTTCAGCCAAGATTTGCTACTGTTCCCTTATGCTTATTTTTTTCCATTCTCTTCTTATTTGCAGAGTACTCGGGTGGAATTTGACCTGCCGGAATATTCTGTTCGTCGAAGATACCAGGATTTTGACTGGTTGAGGAACAAACTGGAAGAATCCCAGCCCACTCACCTCATTCCCGTAGGTAGTAAGTCATTCATTACAGCTTGTCCCTTGCTTCTCCCGCATTCTCTCTTCTGAAGAGGTTCACTTAACTCCTGCCTTGGCAGTTATGGGTAGACCCTGCCATACGTTTAAGGCTCACCCATCACACGTATGTCAAACATGTTTATGGAGAGTTTATAGCACATTTCATCTTTTGGGTTTTGCTTTTAGATTTGCCATCTAGGATGCCAGTTCTTGGGGTGGGGTAGATTTCACTTTCACTGTGACAATTTTTTGAGGTATGGAGAGTCTTAATTCTCATTCGCTGTCTCTTTAAAGACTGAAGTTTGGGAGAGTGAGCCTGGTGGAAGCTGTCTCTTTCCCCCACTGTTCTTGAGGTTTGGGTAGCTGCCAGCAGGTGAAGAGTGATGGCTTAGATTGCAGCTGGCTGGGCTTTCTTCAGTCATGGCAGCAAGAACCTAGCACACAATCCATTTCAACTACAGTTTTTCATTTAAAAAACAAACAAGGAAGCCAATCTAACTCTATTTAATGAAGCAACATAATATTTATCTACTATAGTATTTCCATCTGCATGTCGTAACTCAACCCAAAGCAAATAAAATTTGAAAGACTATTAAATCAATGTACATATCAAGTACTTTTCTGACTACTTTTTTTTTTTTTTTTTGAGACAGTCTCTTGCTTTGTTGCCCAGGCACAAGGGCAGTGGCATGATTATAACTCACAGCAACCTCAAACTCCTGGGCTCAAGTGATCCTCCTGCCTTAGCCTCCCAAGGAGCTGAGACTACAGGTGCATACCACCATACTTGGCTAACTTTTCTAGTTTTTGTAGAGATGAGAGATGAGGCCATTTTTTTTAGTTTTTGTAGAGATGAGGTCTTGCTCTTTCTCAGGCTAGTCTTGAGCTCTTGGTCTCAAGAAATTCTCCCACCTTGGCCTTCCAAAGTTCTGGGATTACAGGTGTGAGCCACCACACTTATCCTGACCACTTTTGTTTAAAATGGAAATAACTATTTAGACAACAGATGTCTCTTTGGTTGTGGAGTCTTAGGGCAGTTTGCGTCATAAAACTCCTTAGAGGGACTGATTTATCTTTCAGCAAAAACTTTGGTTGGGCAGTGCCTGTGGCTCAAAGGAGTAGGGCACTGGCCCCATATGCCGGAGGTGGTGGGTTCAAACCCAGCCCTGGCCAAACACTGCAAACAAACAAATAAAAAAACTTTGGTTAAATGATAACTCCTTTTTTTTTTTTGAGACAGAGTTGCCCTTGGTAGAGTGCTGTGGCATCATAGCTCACAGCAACCTCAAACTCTTGGGTTTAAGCAATTCTCTTGCCTCAGCCTCCCAAGTAACTGGGAGTATAGGCACCTGCCATAACACCCGGCTATTTTTTTGTTGTTATTGTTGTTTCAGGTTCAAACCCACCAGCCCTGGTACATGTGGCCGGCACTGTAACCACTGTTACAGGCGCCGAGCCTGAGGAGCAACTTCTTAGCATGGCCAAGTTTCCTGTTACCACTGCTTCTTCCAGCCTTTCCTCCCAGGGTTGGAAGAGGCTGTATGTGTTGTTAAGCATACTGGGAGCGTTCTTGGTTCTCAGGGTGAAAAGAGCCACTTTGCTAGTGGCGTGGTAGAAAGCACGGGTCTTGCTGTTCTTTCTTGGGGCATTTCCTTTCTCCTTAATCATATATCCTCCCCGCTCTCCAAGCCTGTAGTTTTGCTTTTCACTTAGAAACATGCCTGAAGAGGGAACAATAGTTTGGAAAGAGTTGCGACTAGTCCTTAAAATAGAATCTTAATTTGGCAAAACTGACAGTTAGTGAGTCTTTCTAAGTAAACTTTTTGTTTCACAAACATTTTAGAATTACAGAATTATTGCAGAGGTAGAGAATTCGCATGCCCCACATCCAGTTTTGCTTAGTATTAACATCTTATGTTAGTATGGCACATTTGTCACAGTTAATGACTCAATCATTATTAAGTAAGTGGTGCTTTTAACTAAAAGTTCTTTATTCTGAGTTCCTACTTAGTTTTTGCCTAACGCCTTTTTCTATTCCAGGATCCCACCCAAGATCCTACCTTACATTTAGTAATCATGTCCTTTAGGCTCTTCTTGGTTGTGACAGTTTCTTTGGCTTTCCTTTCTTTTTGATGACCTTGACAGTTTTGAGGAGCACTGCACAGGTATTGTGTAGAATGTCCCTCAACTGACATTTGTCTGATATTTTTCTTGTCATTAGATTGGGGTAATAATACGTTTGGGGGAGGAAAACCACCAAGGTGAGGTCCTTTCTCATCACCACATGTCAAGGGCAGGTGCTATTGGCAAGAGGTATTACTGTCAATGCCCCGGTCACCTGAATTGAGTTAGTGTCAGGTTCCTTCACCGCACGGTTTCTTTTTTCCCCTGCCTTTCCATACTGTTTTGGAAGAAGCCGCTCTTCATGAGTAGCACTCACTATTTATCAGGGGAATCAGGCGCCCCCTCCTGGCAGCAGGTGCATTTGAGGTTTGGTGGGTGATGAACAAAGGTCATCCAGTGACACCTGCTGGCTAATTATAGTAGTTCATCCACAAACCCTAAAAAGTCCAGGATGCCCACGGAGTATCTTTACGTATGGTTTCTTATCTTCTGGGTAGAAGCAGAGTAGGGAAGTACTTTAAAAACAAGCAGAGACTTGAATTTCTTCATATATTCTTGGTACTCACATACCTGGGGTGGAGAGAGTTTTAATATAGGAGAGTATCTCTGATTTCAACATGAAAGTCAAATCAGAAACAACCCCTTTTTTTCCCTGTACGAATTCATTTTATAGCAGTTTTGCTATTATTGAACACCAACTTTTTGTTAATATTTTTTCTAGGCCTGGTAAGTAACCTTGGGGAGGGATAGAAGGTAGTGTGTAGGGTTATAAGAAAGGCAAGGGCTGGGCGTGGTGGTTCACGCCTATAATCCTAGTACTCTGGGAGGCTGAGATGGGTAGATTGTTTGAGCTCAGAAGTTCAAGACCAGCCTGAGCAACAGTGAGACCCCCATCTCTACTAGAAGTAGAAAAGCTAGTGGAGCACTGTGGCACATTCCTGTAGTTGCAGCTACCTGGGAGGCCGAGGCAGGAAGATCACTTGAGTCCAAGTTTGATGTTGCTGTGAGCTATGACAGCATGGTACTCAACCTGAGACGTCTGAGTGAGACTCTGTCTCAAAACAAAAATAAAACAGAGACAAAGGATTCCTATCTTGGGGAACTTATTGTCAAATGGAAGCCCAGTGAACAATGTAATTGTTGTTCAGATTTCCATTTCTTTTTAAAAAACAGTTTTGTTGAAATTTATATAACATACAATTCCCCATTTAAAATATGCATTTCATCACGCCTATAATCCTAACACTTTGGGAGGCTGAGGTGGTGGATTGCCTGAGCTCAGGAGCTCAAGACCAGCCTGAGCAAGAATGAGACCCTGTCTAAAAAATATCTGGGCGTTGTGACAGCTACTTGGGAGGCTGAGGCAAGAGGGTCACTTGAGCCCCGAAAAGTGAGGTTTCTGTGAGCTAGGATGACATGGCACTCTACCAGGGGGAACTGAGTGAGACTGTCTCAAAAAAAAAGGAAATGATTGCCTAATCCAAAGTCAATGAAGATTTATACCTGTGTTATCTCCTAAGAGTTTTACAGTTTTTGCTCTTTAATATATTTTGAGTCCATTTTTATATGGTAAGTTTTCATTTCTTTTGATTGCTAGTGAGTCTGAATATCTTACCATGACTTTATTGGACATTGGAATTTTAAACGAATTGCCTCTTCACATTCTTCTCTTCTTTTCCCCTTATTGGTTTGTGGAAAAATCCATATCTGCAGAAAAGGAAAAAAAAGAAAAGAAAAAATTAACTCAGTTGGGAATATCTGTCATTCTATCTGTTTTTTCCCCCAGTTGTCATTCGTCTTAGTCTTAGCTCCATTAAAAAAAAAAAACAACCCTTCTCTTCCGTCCTACCCAAGTTAATCTTTCCTTTATAGTTTCTGGCTTTGAAGGTTGTTTCTAACTTAGAATGTTGAAATTTTCTGTATTTTCTTCTATTATTTTTAGGCGCTTATTTTTTGTATTTAAATGTAGAATTCATTCTGACGTAAGATGTGAGTGCCTTACTTTTTGTCAGGTGGTGTGTGAATTGAACCACTTGTAACTAATCAGTCATCTTTCTCATAGTTCATGGATTAGACTGTGTCATGCATTAGACTTGTGTAGGCTTTTTGAACCGTTTGGTTCGTTGATCTCTCTATTTTGATGTCCCTCCTATACTAGTTGAATTATTGTCACTTTATAGAACATTACAATGTCTGATGGGTCCCCATCTCTCAATATACTTAGTTTTCAGAGCTTTTCTAGCTATTTACATGTGTTTTATTTTTTGAGAGGAACTTTAGAATCTTTCTGAATCAGTTGTACAATTTACACATATTTAGCGCATGCCCATGACACCAGCATCTCAATTGAGGTAATTAACAGATCCATCACCTTCAAAAGTTTTCTCGTATCTCCCTTTCTTGTCTTTTTGATTAGAATATTTAACAGTTTTATAAACAAATAAGGAATATATGTGAAAGTGCTTCATCAAAGGTATCTAATATAAAAATATCAGTATATCCTTGAAATATTTAATATGTTATGATGCTTTGTAAATAGGATTTTTTTTAAATTTCAGGTTAATGTGAGGGTCTAAACAACTAGGTTACAATGTTTGCATTTGTTAGGTAGAGTCCCTCTTGTAGCTGTGGCCTGCACCCAAGAAGTGTGTCATATACCTTTACATCATAACCCCTTAAGTGGTAGCACACCAGTCTTTTCCCCTTCTCTCCTCGCTGCCCTCCCCCCAACTTGAATTGAATTGAGTTTTTCTATTATGTGGGCGAGTATTAGATAGTCTGCTGGTTCATATTAGTATTGAGTACTTGCTCTTCTATTCTTGTGATACTTCACTAAGAAGAATGTGGTTCAACTCCATCCAGGTTAA